ATAGAATATTAAAACATTCCAAAAATAGGGAAAATCAAAATCTGGAAATATGAAAATTAATTATTTGAAGGCCTAAACGAAGGAATTTGCTAAAATCTTGAGATCTCCAATTTTTCATGCCGTTTCCAATCAACCTGCCAAATTTCAGCTCATTCCGACACCGTCGTGCCAAATGACCAAATTGTCCATGGCGCGATCTTTCTTCGTAAATTTCCAGTCCAGCACTTCTTCAAATTCCAAAACTAGTTGTCCTACATCAACTAAGAATAATTTAAGTTAAAACAATAATTTTTAAAACTAGTACATCTATTAAGTTATAATCTCCTCATAGTAAATAAAATTAATTTGGTACTCATCTTTCTAACAATGCTGACTCAACAATTTTTTTAATTTTATTTTTTCTTTTAGAGTATTGGATGTTCTTTCTCTTTCTCACATTTTATTTATTTTCAGTTTAGGATAGATAAAAGAAAAGTAGTTAGCTGTAGTGGATTGTAGATAAATTGAGACCAATTTTAGGTGCGACTATCTATTCATTAGTCATCAATAGTTTTTAAATCTTGTAACTTGTATGTCATGTAAACGGTAATCTATAGAATGCATGGGATATGCTCTTAATTTTTTTCCGAAATAGGGAAAAAATGTCAAATATTTCTAATGTTAAGCCTTTAAAATTTTTATTACTCAAGGAATCCCCACTATTTATTATTCGCAATTTATATACAGGAAGAATCACCTTTTATTTCTTTTTTATAAATGGTCTGTAACAATATTTGAACAATGAATAGGCTTTAGTTTATTTCTTGCTTGATAGCATTAGCATTTGGAGTTTTCTATTAATCCAAGAATGCATTTTCACTGCATGGGATGGATAGACAACCTCCGGGGTAATCAAAACCGTACTCTTCCTCGGGACGCCTCGACAAATCTTGGGACAAAGGATCCTTTAAATAGGAAATAGGAATTACAAAACGGTGCTTAGTGAGTTTTACTTCTCCAACATAAACTGCAAAATGTCCTTTTGGGACATCTGCTGTCGCAGTGCCTCCTGGAAATGGCAACGTCTGAATATTCTGCATAGATTTCTGATTCCGAACTTTTCTGGCTTGAGAAATTGTTGCTAAAAAACGAATCCCCATTTCGGCTTTAAATGAAGAAAAACCTTAAGTTTGCTATATATTGTTAGTCGATTTTGTTGCAGTGAGAGATTTGTGTATGGGAGAATTTATCAATGAAGAATCCTTGCAGTTGTGGATGAGTGTGAAGGCATATTTTTTTTTAGGGACTGGTTAGGCTATCATTCCATGTGGTTAGTTTAAAGATGAAGGCATAAAATACTAGAAATAGAAAAATTGAATTTAATACCTTTCCCCTTTGCAATGAAAAACCAGTTTGAATTAACAATATACCAACCAGATTTCAATACCGTATTTGGAATGTTGGAATTAATTGATAAAATGTT